ATTTTTGAACAAGCGAAGATCCAAACAAAAAAGATAATTCCTTGTAAGTTAAAATACGATTCTTTTTTAGATTTATTCTAATTCAGTCATATTATGGTAGGTTCAAACAAATATATGAAATAATATTATCTCTTTCCAATTATTTTATATGTTAATCGGAACATACCATTAAATTGCTGAACTTGGATAAATCTGTAAAAAGAAAATTATTAGATGGTGAACTCCTCTTTTGTTTTGATTCATCTTAATTCAATAACATAATGGTGGATTACATTCGACATATAAAATAATATTTTAGATTTGTAATTATTTTATATTTTCAGTTAAATGTACCATTATATTGTTGAGTTAAGAGAACTAGAAAAAAAGCATTTGCACTGAGTGACCACATTCTATGTAGTTCTTTCAGTCTCCACAAATTTTCAACGAAACCATGGGGACGACTAAGTTCTCATTAGTTTATATCCACAAAGATCATAAATTTTTCTATGGAAGAAGCAAACGGCAAAAGTACTATCGTAGATGGGCATGGTTTACGATTGACTTGTACAATGGCCTTAAATCAACGTCGCTTAAGGTTGTAGTGAGCACTGTATGAATATCGTTCATAATAGCTAAGTAAGATGATCGTGAACGGGTCTATTCCCATGTTAACGGTCGTAAAGGAAAGATTGACAATCAATTAAGATTTTACACTTTAATCGATTGTTAATGATTTGTTTTTAACCGGTTATAATCAAAAGTAAAAGCGAAAGTCGAAATTTCCCTAATCATTGTGATCGATTTTGATTACTATTGTTATAAATAAAAGAAAATTGGTTGACAACTTTCCCATTTATCAACAAGAAAACCAATTTATGTTGATACTTTTTGCAGTTTTTAATTAGTTATAGCTGATACTAGAAAACAACATTAGGTGCAATTATATAATATGTATATGATCCCTTATGGAAAAATCATAACAATAATCTACTTCTCACCATAAGATGGCAATGCCTTGCCTGAAATTCTGTGGAACAATGCATAATTCTACAGAAAATAATAAACTTTTTTACTGAAAACTTATGATAATACACCAAAATCTCTCTATAGTGGACACTCTTCGAACTTTTCAAAAGTGTCCACTATACAGAGGTTATATGTTGTGCAAAATAATGATGTATTTTCCAAGGAAATACACATGTTTCTAGGCATGTGGAATATTAGTTAATAAGATAATCAGATAGAGCACGATATTTCTTTTTCTGTATTTTCTGAAAATAGAAAAATCAACAATTGTTAAAGTAATCTTTGATGGAACTTTGTTTCGTTACTCTCGACTTCAGATACATGTCAGTTAATTGCGATTCAAGATCAGCGATGAGATTGTGTAGCTAAGGCTGTTGAGTAGAGGCAAAAAGATGAAGCTTAATTCTCATTATTTCCATTAATTCATGCAGATTTAGGGGCTTTTCAGTTATAGAGACATATTCATTGTCTTTCTTCTCTTTCTCACCGACCTTGAATACTCTTCAGATGTTCATCATCATCCCATTCGTTAAAAGCTGGAATAGAAGAATCGATGTGGTCATATTCAACACCCGTCAGCTGTTGATCACTAATTCGAACAGGAATCAATAGAGGATCAAGTTGTTTTAGAGGATCGTTAGAATTGTTCGAGTCTGAGACCGTTTCGACCACCATATCAGGAATATTATCTGTAGACAAATATGATGTAGAACAAGAATGAACAAAGCCGGCAGCTCGAAATGAGTTTTTAATGATCGATTTCGTTACACTTTTTCATGACGAATCGATTCACCTTATTGTACCAAGAGCAGTCGCTGTAAATCGATTCATAGTTCGAGTAGCAGTACATTGAGCAATAATATGTTTAACTAGTTTCTGTCGATAGTAGCATTTGACCGAGTAGATGACTCCTTGGTCAGGTGGTTGACACTTGGAAGTAGTATTTGGAGGAAAGAAGACAAGTTTGATATTCGACCAGTCGCAGTTGACTAGATGACAGGGTGTGTTGTCAAGAAAAAGACTAATTTTACAATTGGTCTTGTTCATTTGAGCATTTACATCTGAAAGCCAATCTCCGAACAAGGTGCAATTCCTCCAGGTAGTACGATTTGCGAGATAAGCGACTGATGATAGTTTAGATACAGCAATATTTTTGAAGCATCAATGATGTAAACTTTTGTCTGAAAGCAAACAGAAGTAACGTGAGCTACACTAGCAGGCAGCGCATCTCCTTACCAATTACAAGTGGCTTCAGCTTTTCAGTTCCGGCCCAACTCGAGCACAAAAGAAGAGAGAATTGTTCTTTGCTTGTTTTCCTCCTTTGGAACTTTCTGTTGACAATACCAGCGATCGATCTAGTATTGCACGGTAGAATAATCCTGTTTCGTCTACATTAAATACGCATTTCTCATAGTATCCATCCCATAGTGTTGGTAATCTTTTTATTTATTCTTCGGTGGAAGAACCATCAACAGAGGCGCTTTCACCAGAAATCATTCGAAAGCAGATAGCGTGGTGAATAGGAAACTTCTTCAGCCAACCATTTGAGGCTTTGAATACATTTGATGGATGTCCCGATTCTTCGGCAAATTGCCTGGCTTTCTCTTGTTGTATAGGCCCTGAAATAGCAATCTGTTTAGATTGTTGAACAGTAAACCATCCGAATACGAGTTTATCGATGGTTTACCCCCTTTCGTCGTTATGCTTTCGTTTTATGCTTTTGTTCGAGTTGGAGGCATAGTCATCGAAGAATTCTTCCAGACGATGTAACTGTGCTGTAACTCGAGAACATTGGACATGTTCAGGCAAAATTAAAGGTCTCGCTGTCAAACTAACAAATTTAAAATATTACGTACCCATAGCGTACCTAGAGCAAGTTACTTAATTTTCAAGGTATGTAAAATTTAGGTATAAAACTGAAGCAGGAAAGGCTATCTCCACTACTGTAAGGACAAAACATAGAGTTGTTCGGGTCGATTAGGAGTTTGAAGAGGCCCTCTTTCATATGGATTGAACAACACTATGTTTTGCCCTTACAATAGTAGAGATAGCCTTTCCTGATTCATTTTTATACCTAAATTTCATATACCTTGAAATTTAAGTAACTTCCTGTAGGTACACTATGGGCACGTAATATTTTAAATTTGTTAGTTTGCCAGCGAGACCTTTAATTTGACCCGAGCATGTTCAATGTTCTCGAGTTACAGCACACACAACTCGATTGTAAGATGTATTTTTTTTCATTCTAGAGTCCAATTAATAAAGAGGCATCATGTTGAATGATTGATGATAGCCATCGCGACATATTCTTTGAATTCATAATCAGGGTCCACTATCGAAGGTTTTGGTGTAAATCCATTTTGCTAACAACGTGTGATAATAAACCCTTAGGTGTAGAATTATGAATCATCGTCCTTGAATCTCAGTATAATAAACTCTTCTTTTATAGTGTTAATCGTTTCTTACTTTCATATATCCGTCCAGGGTTTATAAAAAACTTGTACTTAGAGCAAAGGTTTACTATTCTACTCTGTTTTTTACAGTGAAGAATGGCGTGACTGTCGCTGGAGGTCATGGAAAAGGTAATGCCACCAATCAACTTGACGCCGCTTATAGTATCTTCGTTGATGATGATCAAACGGTTTTCATCGCTGAGTGGGGCAACGATCGTATCACTCAATGGAAGATGAATGACACAAATGGACAAGTGGTCGCTGGTGGCCATGGCGGAGGAAATAGATCGGATCAGTTGAAAAATCCAATCAATTTGTTAATCGACAAAGAGACGGACAGTCTCATTATTTGCGATCGATGGAATCAACGAGTTGTACAATGGCCTCGTCGTAGTGGGACAACACAAGGAGAAATTCTCCTTGACAACATCTTCTGTTCAGGATTGGCTATGGATGATCAGAGATATCTCTATGTCTCTGACACCACGAAAAATGAAGTAAGGCGATATCGAATAGGAGACAAGAATGGAACTCTGGTGGCTGGTGGCGATGGTACCGGTGATGGTCTCAAGCAACTAAACACTCCGTACTACATTTTTCTCGATAAACAACAGTCTGTCTACGTATCTGACAACATGAATAACCGTGTAATCAAATGGGCTAAAAATGCGAAAGAAGGAATAGTCGTCGCCGGAGGTCAAGGCGCAGGGAATAGTATGAAACAATTATCGTCCCCTGAAGGAGTGTTTATCGATACGTCGGATAACCTCTACGTGGCAGATGAAAGGAATGATCGAGTGATGCGCTGGCCTAAAGGAGCGACACATGGCACCGTTATTGCAGGTGGAAATGGCCAAGGCTCAGGAGCAAATCAGTTGAACGGTGTCAACGGTGTATTCGTGGATCGACATGGCAACCTCTATGTCGCCGATACTGATAATAATCGTGTTCAACGTTTCTTAATTGATTAGACTCATTCGGATGAATATTTTTTCCCTCTCAAATAAATAATCTTGTATAAGAAGGGTGTGGGTGTGGGTCTGGGTGGGTCTGGGTCTGGGTGTGAGTATGGGTGTGGGCGTGCGTGTGGATATGGGTGTGAGTGTAAATAAACAAACGCCACCCACACCCACACTCACATCCACCCACACCAATAATCAGAAGAAGAATGGCACCGATGAATTACATGTTTCTGGTAATTTATTATCTAGAGTGATAAAAGGCAGTGCGAGACACGAAACACAAACATCGAACAATTTAAAATAGTTGTGCAGGTACATACCTTTTGATTTTGTGTAGAGAGGTTGTGTGATGTGTGTTGTTCTTCTTGATTTTTTTCACTTGACCTTGTAAGAATATTTTTTGATTTAGCTCAGTCAAGCTACTGCTTTATATATACTTTATTTTCTTATACAATATCATTTTTTTTTCATTATTACTTCTTCACTTATTTTTATTACTTTTGTAATCTTCTTTAGAAAAATTTTGAAGTAAATAAATCATTCTCTCATAAAACGTCGATTACAAGTGAATCAATGCATATAGAATCGGCCATCATTACATCATCTAAGTGACTGACGAAGAACTCATAATCTGATACAATGTTGAATGCTGAACCCACGAAGAAACCTGAACTCGTTATCTTTTTCAAGAACAAAATGAATCAGAAAACACTTTCACGGCAGAAAAGCTGATTTTGCCTGATGTTCGAGAGAAAATCGCTTCTATAATAAAGCCTCTAGTTTCTAAAGGATGTTTGGTTGAATCATTATCTGGTTTCAAATGGCAAGTCTCGTCGAAATCTATAGAAATTTGCTGGAAAACTTGATGTGAAGACTTACGAGGGAAGTACCCGAAGTGATTCATCGGTTTTGAGTTCGAACTCTGTGCATCAGATAGACTATTGTATGATATGAAAAACCCTAAAAGGATAAGGGCCCATAGACATTCCCTCCAGAGTTGTAGCTATTTTACTGGAATTTTAGCCTATAGCATGGTATACGCTAACAAATCGAATACGGTATTTCGGCCTGAAATTTTGCCCGCAGATAGGTCTACTTGTAACTAGAATATCCTAAAATTTTCAACTAAAAGAAATGTTTTCTTCACCAGATAAGGAATTTTCAAAAAGACAGGAGACTCTTACATCTTTCATTAAATATGAGTGACTTTTGGGGATTCGATATCTCGTGAAGAAAGCATTTCTTTTAGTTGAAAATTTCAGGCCGAAATATCGTATTCGATTTATTAGCGTATACTGTGCTATAGGCTAAAATTCCAGTAAAATGTCTAGAACTCTGGAGGGAGGGCCTATGGACCCTTATTCTTTTGGGATTTTTCATATCATACAGGGATCTACCTGATGTACAGAGTTTGAACTCAAAACCGATGAATCACTTCGGATACTTCCCTCGTTAGTATCGGTTGAAAAGATTTTTGGAAAGGTAAGTTCCGGTACAAATCTCTAGGACCTTAGCAATTGTGAGGCTCTTTACGAACCACAGCATTAGAAAGACAGTCGAATTCTGAAACAAACTGAAACGCATCCAACTTTATATGGTATTTATTTAAAGAGACGCAACACTTTTACAGAATAAAGAGCACACGAAAGAAGACTAGCAATGTCTGACTATTAGCATCAAATCTTCAATGAATCTATACATATTTCTGCGAGATCTTTCATTTCAGACCAAAATAACGGTTCGATGACATGTGGTCTAGGAACTCGAAGTTTTGAAATAGAAGCCATTTTCGCAGGAAAGTAAGAAAAAATCAACTGTTCTTCTAGGGTATTACTGTAGTTAACATATAACTTTTTCTCGAAAAAGATGACCAGGTTAGTTTCTGGTTATTTTTTTTTCAGCGTACAGCATTGCATCATAAAACTAGTTTCTCATTATTGGTGTAACTACTTTTTTATAACATGATAGATTGCTATAGAATCACTCTAAACGTGAGTCACTAACAGGAAACTTTGGAGTCATAAATCTCATCGTACTTCTTCGATGTTTATCACTATTGCATAAAGCATTCGTGTTGAACTTTTACAGAGCAAATAATAATAAAGGTTTTTATCTAAAAATGTATGTCAATGCTGGGCGATGTCAATCCTTAAAGAAAAGAACACTGAGGACTTTTACATCATAAATAGCATAACAGAATTAAAACGATCATAGAAAAATAAAAAAAATAGCCCTCCCAAAGAAAAGGTCAGATAATAAACTCTGCATGTAAGAAATAAGAGGAAGTGAGAAAAAAAATATGCCTTACATTCTAGTGTTCTAAACCCTAAAACTTTTCAACGAAGAGTTGGTGAACCAAGTTTTTATTAGTTCAATGAATGGAAGGGGATGAGATGAGCAAGCAACAGATGGTAGAGTGGTTTGAGCTTATAGTAGACTCAGATTTCCACCCAAGTCAGCTCTGAGAGTGAATTGAAAGAGTTTCTTTCAATTCACTGAAAACAGTATTGCACTATATGTTTTCGTGCTGGATTTAAATTCTATAGAAATGTAATCACCATCGAATTCTTTTTGTGTCAAATGAAATAAAAAAATAACAGAGTAAAAGAGTGATGTTTCTTAGAAAAATTTTAAAAAATTACCTAGAGTAAGCAAAGCTGTTTATAACCGAAAAATTTCTTTCTTTTTTGACTTTTCGAAATAAAACCAGAACAGATACTGTTCAGATCAATTGAATCTATTTTTGCTTTATGAATATGAGAAATAATAACAAGATATACGCGTTGTTGAGTCATTGTAAAGCGTAAATACGTTTTATTCGGTTCATAAAGCTGAAAGACAATTCAGTACATTCATAAAACGTATTTTTACTAACTTGTTGTAGATTTAAAAACTCCAATATAGTAAGGAGCGTCCGAGAAGCTCTGAAACAATTTTATAAATCATTGCCCTGGCATTGAATAAAAATGAAATCTTTGAAACTTTGGCAGATTATTACACAAATTTAGTGCTACATAAGTATAAAGTTTGATCTCTATAGCTTGTACCATGGCTGAGAATCTGTAACAACACTTTCATGCACTATCCTTTTTGGTTTTTTCGCATCATTCTGGTCATTATTTTAAAAATGTTTTAACTATCAGAAGTAAAACAAGAAACATAAAATAAATGATCAATATTCCCATATTTGATTAGCACCTTGATCGATTATTAATTTTAACCGAGCTGTTATGTTATCCATCATTCATTGACATAAAGGGTGTGGATGTGGATTTGAGGATCGATGTGGGTATTCATCTGGGTAAAGAGAACAACATACCTATTTCCGATTTCAACTAAAAATAAATATCACGACTGCTGATAAAACTCTGAAAAAGGTAAATTTCAACATAACAAGAAATAAGCATATTTTATTTTTCTTAGATGTCTAAAAAAGCCAATCAACATGATGGAGTATAAAAACGACAAGCAGGTTGTGGGTG